TCAGTTTTCCATGCTGTGATTAGCTACCAGGCTAGGTCCCCTCCTGCTGAGCTGCTCAGGACAGTGCCTGGGTCTCAGCTTTGCAGCCTCAAACCCAGCACCACGTCTGGCTGGAGTTGGTTCCAGTTTGTGGAACAAATGAGCACCCTGCTTTCTCAGTTCTCACTCTAGTTTTGTGTCCAGAGTGATCTGAGAGAGACCTGTCAATAGCTCCAGCTTCTCTTAGTGTCCTGGGCCTTTGGGGACACCCAATTCCCACCAATGTTGATCAACATCCCCGCCCTTCTCTAGCCTACCTCCCCAGTTCTCCATGCTGAAGAGCTTGTGGAAGCTATGGGCGACATAGGGTGCAATCCTTTTGAGATCATGGGTGCGCACACGAGTGGCCAGCAATGACTGATGGGCATCCCTGAAGGTTGTGTCCATCAGCAGCAGCCCCTCATGGTTCCGCACAGCTTGAGCAAAGCCTTTAGGCCCCTCTCGCAAGAGGATGTCCCGGAACCCAGCTGGGGGTGGGCCTAGAATAGACAAGGATATTAATGTCTGTCCTGCAGGTAATCATGTTTCCCCCATGAGTTGGCAGGATGAATCCCACCTACCTATGGGCACTGCAGGGACAATGGGGTCCGTGGGGCTGGGGCTGGCCTTGACAGGAATTGGGGTGGTAGGGCCATTCACCATGACGTGTCCTGGAGGGAGAGTGCTTAGTGGTTAGGACCAGATGGGGCAGCAGTGGAGCTGAAGGCAGCAGTGTGAGTAGGTGGGCTTGGGGATAGGGATATTTCTCCAGGACACCTGGTGCTCCAGCTGTCCCTGTCCTCTCCAAAGCCAGGGCCTCCTGGGTCCAGGCAGTAGAGACCGATTGAGGGCTACATGAGTGGAAAAGAAGATCTCTAGGAGCAAGGCAGATGTGGACCAGTACCAGGGCAGGGCTAAGGGGCAGGGGGCCAGGAGCATGGGGAGGGGAGAGAAGGGCTGTGGGCGGACCAAGGTAGTGCAGCAGCTTCTGGGCCCGGTTCTGTGCGGGCCGCAACTGGAATAGCTCAGGGTTCTCGTCGATGAACTGGGTGTCCACGGTTCCCGCCAGGAACTGCTGGTTGTTGAGCACATTCTGCAGGAAGGGGATGTTGGTCTGCAGGACAGAGGTGGGTGGGAGGGTGTCAGTCACTGTGCAGCACGGATGGGGACGGGAGAAGACAAGAGGCTGCAGCTGCCACCCTGCAGCAGCACAGCTTCAGGGCCTCCTACACCTCAGCCTCCTGTTCTGGCAAAATCCCCTGTATGGCCAAGGGTTCATCCCAGAGCATGTACCGAACACCATCTGCTTCTATCTCCCCTGGGGTCTGGACACCTGTGCCTCCCCACTCCTCCCCGCCTAGGACCAGCTCAGCCTTTCTCACGGCAACACAGAATGCCCTGTGCTTCTTGAAAGAGGCCCCTATCTCTGCACACCTATGCCCTGACATTCCCAAGGTTGTCTTCCTCCTCATGCTAACAGTTCCTAACCTGATGTCATTTCCCTCTTGCTTTTCTGGTCTCCTGCTCCTAGCATGTTACCTGGTGGTCATGTCCTGAGTCTTGGCTCCGGCGATAGCCTCTGTCTCCAGAGCCAAGCCCCAAAGGTGGAACTACCTTTCAGCAGCCCCTTGTGCATCTCTCCTGTGCATTCCACAGGTCCAGCCCAGCTTCCCTCCTGCTCCCCTGTCCTCTGCTGGCCAGCAGATGTCTATCTACACAGTTACCAAAATCACTGCTCAAGTGATTTTGATGAATGACTGGTCCAGGGCCATCTCTCGACTCTGACTTCATCTCAAACTCAGAACAAGCCTTCCAGCAGTCTTCCTCATCACAGCCACCCTTATCTGCTCCAACTCCTGCATGCACACCTCCACACCTGCTTGGTAAGCTCTTCCTGGATGTCTCCTTGAAGGTCACGCCTGTCCTCTCCTCTCACCCTCACAGCAGAGCAGAGTGGTCCCCTTTCCTGTAGGTCCCTGTTGGAAAGCCCAACTCTCAGCCCGCTTTTCTTGCCTATGTACCTCTCTCTCTCTCTCTCTCTCTCTCTCTCTCTCTCTCTCTCTCTCTGGGAACTCATGGGGATGGGAAGGGTGTTGTCTGATCTGGATCTGTGTGCCATGTGCATAAGGCCTCAGCTCTGCTCATGAAATGGCCAGGTGACAGCATGCGACTGGGGCAGGATGCGTAGAGGCCACAAGGGACCTGAAGGCCAGCACTGAGATGTGACACTCCATGTCTGTGATACCACTTGCCTGGGACTTCATGTGTGAGTCTGACCTGTGGCTTTGTGGCTGTATGAAGCATCTCCATGTCAACCATTCACAATTTTTGCCTGGCACCTTCAGCAGGGACCCTTTTGAGAGAATCTGTCATCAGAGTTCTGATCACCCCCCAGGTGAGACACACTGTGTGTGCTGCTGCAAGAAACGCTGAGCTGCTCATAGGCTGTAGGGAGAAAGAGGGGTGGGGTGCAGGTTTCCAGTGTAGAGTAACTGTAAGGGCACTACCCCCTGCAGGCCATCACTGGTCGCTGCATGGGTCAGCCACCAGTGCCTCTTGCCTGTCTGATGTGGCAGATCTGCATGCTCCCAGCTCTTGCCCTAACCCTTCAGAGATCACAGCTGATCTGATCTAGACTACTTAAAAAAAAAAAATCTCAGGTGCAGCCAGGCCTGGTGCACTGGAGAGGCTGAGGCAGAGGGATTGTTACAAGTTTGAGACCAGCCTGGGATACAAAATGAGCCCAAGTTCAGCCTGAACTGCATAGTGACACCCCGTCTCAAAAAGACAAAAATAAATAAAATGAAAAATCTCAGGTGCGTAGGGTCAAGGTTATGACTAGGGGTACATTATTATGGGATTATGTGAACCATGTTTAAAACCTTCTGTTTTAAAAATTGCACCAGCACATGCTAGTAATAATGTTGCTCTTGGATACACTTGACCTACAGTGTAAATTTTTGTCCATGACCTCCAGCAGGATAAAGAGATAAAAGACATTTCAGTTAGGCTGAGCAATGGCTTTTGAGAAGGAAATCACCGATCAAATCCATCGAAAGAACCCAGAGCTGCGCAAAGCAAAAAGGATCCTTGGGGGCCTCCCTGGTACCCCAACCTTTCTCTGCGTCAATCCCTCCACTTCGCAGGTACTGGGCTGTAGTGAGTCTCTGTGCTGGAAGCTGCCTGGAATTAGCAACCAGGCCGGCCTTACTCTCAGCACGGGCTGGTACATGGCAGATGCTAGCAAGAATGTATGTGCAGAATGAACAGAAATATTTTTGATGAGAAGAGAAAGAAGTATCTAAAGCACATCAAAGTAGATCCAACCCCATTTCACATCCAGCAGCTGCGGCCCTGGCAGTGCCTGGTAAGCATGGTTTCCAGTAGTTATGCCCCTCAAACTGCAGGCTCTTCTCCATTCAGGAGTGGAGTGACTGTGCAGAGCTGCGCAGTCCGCAAGGCGGGCTTAGACTGCAGTCTCTGGTCACCCTTTGTTCCTGCCATCTGCCTCTGGGAATCAGGGCTGGAGAAAGGGGCACATGAAGGAAGGCACCTCGGAAGCCTGAGGACAAGGAATGCCCATGAGCAGTGACTCTCCGTGATTCCTAACTGGACGGGCCACTAGTGGTGGCAGCTCCAATTAGGGTTCTCGATCTCTCTTGGAGTGCTCAGTGCTTCTACCCAAGACCCAGTTCTCTGAGGCTACTACCTAACACCTGGGACCAGCCAGAGCTGCGCTCCGCAGGAACTTGGCCCCGTGCGAAGGCAGGAGGAGGAGGGCGGGGCTGTGCTGCGGCGAGAACCACTGACGCACAGCTTCAAACAGCGTGCCACCGCCAGCCTGCTGGGAAACTGCGTGGCGCAGACCAATCCCGCCCGAGGCGGAGGCCGGTTGGCTCTGGAGCTCCGGACAAGTGGAGCGGGCGGGGGACCCAGGAGAGAGGAAAGGAGAGAGGGGCGGGGACGGGGACCAGGGCGGGGGGCGGGGCACAACGCCTGCACAGAGGCCAAGCCCCCCCAGCCCCACCCCGCAGCAGCCCTGCTGGGGGTGCCGCCCCCCCAAGGCCTGTGTCTGTTGGGGACCCTCCACGTGACTCGGTGATGCAGAACGGTTATGACCTTCAGCGAGTGTCTGAAACGCGAGGGTCCCTGCAACAGTACGGGTTTGCGTCCGGCCCTGCCCGTTGTTGTGGGGGACTGTGTGTGGGTGTGTAGGCATATGTGGGCGTATTGGGGAGGGTGCCCAGCGACATGTGACAAAGACCCGTCTCTGGGAGACGGTGAAGGGACCCGCGAGCTGCGCTTTGTCTGGTCTGCAGTGAGGTTCCCGCCGCGGCGGCGGGCGCCCGGGCGGTGCAGGATGCTGGGGCGCCAGAGTGGCCAGGGGCGCACGCGCTTGTGCCAGGGTGAGTGTGCTGCGGCAGCACCGGGGGGCAGCAGGGCGGGCCCACGCCAGCCCGGGCCTCGGGCGTGACTGGGCGCCACCCGTGGGCGCTGCAGTAGCCGCGTGTCCCCGTGACCTCGGGAGCCAGCCTGGTCCCGGCCGGGTGGATCTCTGCACGCCCCTCCCCGTCCACCTTCCACGTGCGTGTCCACGGCGCGCGCGCCCAGTAGCGCGCGCCCGCCTGCCTGTCACCGCCGCCGCCGCTGCCGCCACCACCACCAGCACCGCGAACCGTGCAGGAAAAAGGTGCCGGGAACCGAGAGGGCCAGGGCGCGGGCCCGAGCGCCATGGGCTGGAGGGAGCTAGGCAGGCGGCCTGGGCCTCGCCTCCGCGAGAGTGCGGCCTGGAGTCGGCGGGGACTGCGGGGGCCGGTGGGGCCGGCCCTCGCCCCCTGAGCTACCGACACCAGGTAAGGGGGTCGTGGAGCGCAGCACGGCGGAGGGGGAGGGTGATGGGAGGGGCCACGCGAGGTATTTTGGGGGCGCCTTTCCTGGCAGAGGAAGGGATGGCACCGAAGGGGGAGGGGGCTGGCAATTCCAGGGGACGCCAGGAAAAGGAACTTCCGGGACCCTCCCTGCTCTCGGCCCACCTCCGCTTCCTGCCTCATGCCTCACCTTGTCCCCAGCACCTGGACTTCCACTAAAGGCTTAGAAAATGTGACCTTAACTCCTGGGGGCCTGGCTCTGCAGCCCCAGCTTTCCTCCCTCCCTGAGGTTCCCCTCCAGCCTTTTACCGGACCCTTGCCCAGGCCAGACTCTGGAAGCTGGCTCTGGGACTGTGCTCTGGGCCAAGTGGGCACCTGCACCAGCCCCACTTGTGCCTGGGCTGCGGCCCTTCCCCCACAGGGCGCCCACCATGGCCCCACCACTCTTGCTGCTACTGCTGGCCAGTGGAGCGGCTGCCTGCCCGCTGCCCTGTGTCTGCCAGAACCTGTCGGAGTCTCTCAGCACCCTCTGTGCCCACCGAGGCCTGCTGTTTGTGCCACCCAATGTGGACCGGCGCACAGTGGAGCTGCGGCTGGCTGACAACTTCATCCAGGCCCTGGGGCCACCTGACTTCCGCAACATGACAGGGTTGGTGGACCTGACCCTGTCTCGAAATGCCATCACCCGCATTGGAGCCCGCGCCTTTGGAGACCTGGAGAGCCTACGCTCCCTGCACCTGGATGGCAACAGGCTGGTGGAGCTGGGCAGCGGCAGCCTTCGGGGACCCATCAACCTGCAGCACCTCATCCTCAGTGGCAACCAGCTGAGCCGAATTGCACCAGGGGCCTTCGATGACTTTCTTGAGAGCCTTGAGGACCTGGACCTATCCTACAACAATCTCCGGCAGGTGCCCTGGGCTGGCATTGGCGCCATGCCTGTCCTACATACCCTCAACCTGGACCACAATCTCATTGACGCACTGCCCCCAGGAGCCTTTGCCCAGCTCGGGCAGCTCTCCCGCCTTGACCTCACCTCCAACCGCCTGGCCACACTGGCACCGGACCCACTCTTTGCCCGGGGGCGTGATGCTGAGGCCTCCCCTGCACCCCTGGTGCTGAGCTTCAGTGGGAACCCACTGCACTGCAACTGTGAGCTCCTGTGGCTGCGACGACTGGCGCGGCCCGACGACCTGGAGACCTGCGCCTCCCCACCTGGCCTGGCTGGCCGCTACTTTTGGGCAGTACCTGAGGGCGAGTTCTCTTGTGAGCCACCCCTCATTGCCCGCCACACACAGCGCCTCTGGGTGCTAGAGGGCCAGCGGGCTACACTCCGATGTCGCGCTCTTGGTGACCCAGCACCCACCATGCACTGGGTTGGCCCTGATGATCGGCTGGTCGGCAACTCCTCCCGAGCCTGGGCTTTCCCCAATGGGACACTGGAGATTGGGGTGACAGGCGCTGGAGATGCAGGAGGCTATACCTGCATTGCTACCAACCCTGCTGGTGAAGCTACTGCCAGAGTAGAGCTCCGGGTGCTGGCCTTGCCCCACGGCGGGAACACCAGTGCTGAGGGGGGCCGCCCCGGACCCTCGGACATTGCTGCCTCAGCTCGAACTGCTGCTGAGGGTGAGGGGATTATGGAATCTGAGCCAGCTGTACAGGTGACAGAGGTGACAGCCACCTCAGGACTGGTGAGCTGGGGCCCAGGGCGGCCATCTGACCCGGTGTGGATGTTCCAAATCCAGTACAACAGCAGTGAGGACGAGACCCTCATCTATCGGTGAGGAGCCATCCCCTGCTTGCCTCCTCTTCCAGCCTTAACCACTGCTCCACTCTGAGAGCTCCCCCCATGCTCAACCCTGAACTCCAGGGGGAGCAGTGGCAGGCCCAGGGAGGCAGGTGGGGCTGGGCAGGAAGTGGCGCAGGCATGGCTGCTGCCTCCCTGACCACCTGCCGGGGTGGCCAGCATCTGAAGCACAGCCAGGCACGTTTTTCTGCCTCTGCCTTTGCCATCGCCTCCCACATCATCCTCTGCTTGCCTGGGGCCGGTGTCAGTACACACACCCGTCTGTCCCACCCCACACTCACGTGCCTTTGTTGCTCTGCCTTCCTGAGCAGTGAACATGCAAGGTCTATGTGTTCTCGGCCTGGGGGGCTGTTCAGAGCCAGACCTGGGAGCATGGGGTGGGGGCTGTGAATGGGCTGTGAGGTCCTGGCCTTGGGGAGACGGGAGTGGGGGGCTGGGCACCAACACTGGGGCTCTTACCACCTGCCCTTGCCTACAGGATCGTCCCAGCCTCCAGCCACCACTTCCTATTGAAGCATCTGGTGCCCGGTGCTGACTACGACCTCTGCTTGCTGGCCCTGTCACCTGTCGCTGGGCCCTCTGACCTCACAGCCACCAGGCTCCTAGGCTGTGCCCACTTTTCCACGCTGCCAGCCACGCCCCTGTGCCATGCCCTACAGGCCCACGTGCTTGGCGGGACCTTGACTGTGGCTGTGGGGGGTGTGCTGGTGGCCGCCTTACTGGTCTTCACTGTGGCCTTGCTGGTTCGGGGCCGGGGAGCTGGGAATGGCCGCCTTCCCCTCAAGCTCAGCCATGTCCAATCCCAGACCAATGGAGGCCCCAGTCCCACCCCCAAGCCCCACCCACCACGGAGCCCCCCACCCCGCCCCCAGCGCAGCTGCTCCCTGGACCTGGGAGATGCTGGGTGCTACGGCTATGCCAGGCGCCTGGGAGGGGCCTGGGCCCGGCGGAGCCACTCTGTGCATGGGGGGCTGCTGGCAGCAGGGTGCCGGGGTTTGGGGGGCAGTGCCGAGCAGCTGGAAGAGAGTGTGGTGTGATGAGAGGGGCAGTTCTCCTTGTGCCCTGAGGAACGAGCAGTGGGGCCGGGGGAGCCCAGGGCTGCAGCCGCCTGGCATGGGCAAGCCACACTGCCCTTGGGCCCCTCCTGGTTTTTATTCTCGGTACCTCAGGCTCCCCATGTACTTGGTGGGAAAGGGAGCCCTTTCCATGGTTCTGGCCTCCAGACCAGGGTAAAGGGACAGGTCCCTCCGATAGGTGCTCAGAGCCACCAAGGCAGGGGCTGCAGCCACCAAGTGGGAGTGTTGTTTCCGTTTATAATAAAATGATTGGGGACACCTCAGTGCTGGTCTCCGGTCTTGTCCTGCTCAGTCTCTGGGAAGAGGCCAGGGAGGATGGCATTGGGGCTGGTAGAGGCATACAAACCAGCACAGGCATCAAGGCCAGGGCTGCTAGGCCCAGCAGAGATGACCCTAGCAGCCTGGGCTCCTGCCCACCGCATCTGCTGTACAGTGATGGTCCAGGGCAGCAGTGTCTCTTGGCCTGGAGTAGCCGTGGTTTGTGCATGTCACCTGGACTCTGGGCTTCTACACTCCTGTCCATAAGCACGGAGGATGCCCTGCCTGGCAGGCAAGCACAGGGCACATTGTATGTCACACCCAGGTATGTTGTACAGTGCATGTGCATCTCACTGGTTGCGCCTGGCATGTAAGGAGTCTGAGGGGACAGCAGTAGGACCACATTTAGTGATTAGAAAAGGTGGGTGATAGCACAGCCTTCCCCCACAAAGGCCCTTGTTGGTAACTGTCTCCTGAGCACCGTCAGTAAAGAGTCCTCATGGCTCCCCTTAGGAACAGCCCTACATACCGTCTCCAGGGGGCTTCTGGATTTGTAAAATAACACCCCAAAGGGCTGAGAGTCCCACCGCCACTGTCACTCCAAGACCCCCACCCCCACTGTCCTGTCATCCCCCAGGCCGAGTGAGAGCGCCTGCCTCTCCGCTGCGCCTCCCATGCCTGCACAGCTGTGCCAGCTATGCCAGGGGATTTTCCTGGAAAGATGGCCCCGACCTGCCCTCCCTGCAGGGACAAGGCCAGCTGGAGTGTGCACAGCCTCACGCCAACACTCAGACAGGCCGGGCCCCACTGCTCTGCTCCCTCTGCTGGGACCTGACCCTGACAGCCCTCCAATTCTCATGGGTCAGAAGCCCTCTGTGAGTGATCTTTCCCAGACACAGGGCGCCCCCTTTCCTCATCTCTGTTGAGGACTTTGTTTCCATTTATTTAAACTAGCATCTCTCCTGGTCACATCCAAGAGTATGTTCTGGGGTAGAGAGGTGTGTGCGTATACAGTGGAACACCAGCCTCCCCTATGTCCTCAGAAGCACGTTTCCCTCGTGGGGAAACATCGTGTGCCAGGGTGCTGTGAGCTGTCACCCTGGGATGTCACCATCTGCCTTCTGTATTTTCATAAAGTTTCCAGATATGGGGCCAGGGAGTTAGCTCAGTGGCATAAGCAACTGCCTGGCAAGTACGAGGTCCTGAGTTTGATCCCTGTACCAAAAAAAAGGAGTCCCCAGATGTGCCTGACCCTCAGCAGAGCTGAGAGGGGACAAGGGTGTCACGTGGCCAAGAAGGAGGAAAGGCAGGACAAGCAATGTGGGAAGGGGACAGGAGCACAAAGCTCAGGGTGCGTCTGCTGCGTATTTGGGAAGGTCACCAGCACTCCCACTCCTCCTGCTGCAGATGTTCCTGGGCCTGCTGGGATGTGGGACAAGGGTGAGGTCCTAAGGCCCTGGGGAGCCAGGTCCTGGGGAGTGGCACACCCAGGATACAACCACAGGGGGCAGCCAGGGTCACCGATAGGACAACACACAGGACAGGGGAGCCCAGTCAGTGCCCCCCACCGCGTTGTGGTCATGGGCGACCACACACTACCTCCCTCACACTACCAGTTCTAGGACTCCAGCCAGGGAGGCCAAGCACACAGCATGGGAGCACAGGGTGTTGCAAGTGAATGGCAGGACACACCGCAAGTGCGGGACACAGCCTGGGACAAGGAGCCTGTGTGGCTTCCCACAGAAGAGTGCAGACCCGCAGCGAATGGGAAGACAATGCAAGACCAGGGGCACAGGCGCAGGAGTGGCCCCCCTGCCCCCTCTCGCCACTTCCCACACTTCCCGTGCCCTGAGCACTCCTTCTGTGCAGCCTAGGGACAGGTGGGACAAATGACCGCGGGGTCTAGGAACAGCACTACCACAGCCCTGAACGCCAGCTGAGCCTACCGACAGGTAGGGTTGGAGAAGCTGTGGGAGGCTGAGGCCAGCACCTGGTGCAGCTGGGGAAGGGGAGGGAGGGACTCTCATAGCAGCTGCAGGCCTGAGCCTCGGTCCCCAAGCTGACGGCGGTGCTGCCTGTTCGGAGGATGAGACAATGTCTCTTGGCTGTGAATTCATTTTTAGCTACAGACACAGGTAACAAATGGAGCCCAAAGAAGAGGTGGGCATCTCAGATCTTCTCAGGCGGGTGACCACCAGTCAGAGGAAGGCCAGCTGGGCAAGACCTGAGGGCAGGGACATGTGGCCAGTTCCTTGCCCTCTCCCTACTATAGCCACACTCTGTGGCTGTTCCCTGGTGCATACAGTCTTACAGACACCAAGCTAGGTGAGGGTGGAGACTTGTGGGAGGATCTGGCCTCATCCTTCATCTACACAGGATTGAGCTTTCGGGGAGCCTAAGAAAATCCTGGGGATCCTGTGCAAAGTACAAGCTGCTGCTCAAACCTGAGGGGTCTGACTTCTGGAAGAGGCCTGGAAGCCTGGAGCACACACAATGGATAGCTAAGAAATAGGCATAAGAAATACAACAGGTCTCCCCAGAACAAGCCACCAGATGGGAGGCCTTCCGGCCAGGCACCAAGCATCTGAGAGGGGCCCCATCTGCTCAGGGACACTGAGGCCTGAGTGGGCACCAGGGGAGTCTACCATGCCATTGAGGTTAAGGAACCACTGATCTCAACAGAGTCAAAGCCACAAGCCAAGCGCACAGAGCCACATGAACCCCTCGATAAGGATGTAAATGACCACGGGATCCTCCAAGGGTCAAAGGCAAACTCAGGTGGGGTCTGTACTTCTCACCTTTACGCCGCGGACTCTGAACTCTGCGAGGGCTCGGCTCATCTTGGTGGCAGCTGTGGGGTGGTCCTTGCCGTGGGCAATGACTTTGACCAGGAGGGAGTCATAGTGGGGTGAGATGACAGCTCCTTGGAAGGCAGAGGCGTTGTCCAGGCGGATGCCCATGCCCTCCCCGCTGCGGAACACCTACAGCAACGGGAGGCTGAAGTCAACAGCTGACCTGAGCTCCAGGGCCAAGGGGCTCCCAATTCCACCCACAAGCTTTGCTCTACTTTTGCCAGCAAACCCGGCATGGCCCTCAGAGTGCCACGTCACTGCTGCCTCTGTCCTGGCGAACAGAGACGCCGAAGGCTGTGTGCACACAGAACCAGTGTGGAAAGAGGACCTGGCAGCCAGGGCCAGTCTCACCAGTCTCACCCCTGGTCCCCTGCCTGACCAACCCTCCTCCTATGGATCCCCTCAGCGTCCTCCAGTTTGCTCCTGGAGCGTATGTAGAGCACCCACCATCATCCATCAGCTAAACCCAAGTCTCTCCTGGGCTGCCCAGCAGGAGGAAATACAGTCGTGTGATGGGGACACTGCAGGATAATGAGCAGAAAGAGGAGACAAAGCAGGCTGACCAGACAGTGTTTGGGATAAAGGGTGACTGGGAAGGCCTAGATATGTCCCTTTTCTTCTCGAAGGGGAGGCTGGGAGGAGCAGGAGGCAAAGACAGAAACCCTGAAGCATAACAAAACTCCCCGAACTTGAGCACAGACAGGTGTAACTGGGCTGCTGTGGGCAGCCTGGGCAGCAAACCTGGGGGCCGGCAGGTTAGAGATGAAGGTCACAGAGGGAAGAGGGGGAGACCAGCTTCAGGTGTTCTGGGCCACAAGACACACTGGCACATGCAGGTGAATGCTCAGGACAGCACAGGGACAAAGGAAGAGCAGGGAGGGACAGCCCCGAGGACCTGGGGACACCCACAGCATCACCTTTCTGCTTCTCAGGGGCACTCAATAAAGAGGAACTTAATGAAATATTTAAGGGTGGACAATCAGCTGTGAGCAGGAACCGCCAGCTAAAAATACTCTTGTGGTGAACAGGCTCTGAGCAGCTGGCCATGGACGTGGAGCAGGAGAGAGGCAACACCCACGCAGCTGACAGCTGCAGCCCAGGCCACTGGCTCCCCGACCAGCCAGGCCCAGGAGTCAGGCTGTGGGGCTGCGCAGGCCTGGGGCTGCCCCACCTACGGACTCGGGACTCCAAGGCTCCCAGGAACAAAGGCAGCCAGTTGGCTCTGCAGAGCCCACAGGCTCTGCTGCTCCGGGAGCCTACCCAGTCCTCCGCCCCACTGCATCCTCCGCCTCCTGATCCCGGAAGCCCAGCTTCACATCCTGCTCCCACTGGATTCTGTCCCTACCCAGCGCAGATGTTCTGCTCTGCACTCTGGAGCAGACCCTGTGCTCCTCCAGTATCTTGCATCCTCAGAGCTGGGTCATGTGGGGGTGCTGATTACAGGGCAGGTTAGCACTGCTCATGTGCAGGACCCAGGAGGAGGGACAGCAGGGGAGAGGGAGGGAAGCGGATTTCAGAGACTGGGCTCCCACACTGTGAGGACAGAGGCACAAAGGAAGCACAAACTCTGGACTGTCCACTGCCATCAGTGGACCTCCTTCCCTCATCCTTGCCAGCCCTGAGCCTGGCTCACCCCCGTTATCCTCTATCGCCCCAGACTGAGGGCAGGGTGGAGGCCAGCAGTTTCAGCTCTGTCACAGCAAGGCTTTGAGGGCCTACGGTTTGAGCAGGGACCCAGCTCTTTGCTCCAGCACAGAGGTGACCCTGCTCCCAGGTGATTCACCAGCTGGTTTCTCTGGGCCTTTGCGCAGGGTGCTCTCTTTACACTAGGACAACACCTGGCTCCCACGTGCTCTAGGCCAGCTTGAACCAGTCTTTGTGAGGGTTCACCCTAACTGCTGGACCCAGGGCGACTTGGTGCCACAGACCCAAGCACCCTGGAGAGGCAGCCAGAATCTGAAGTTGCTCTTTCGAACCTTCACCTACCTCAATGCGGCCCGTGTCAGGCTGGAAGCTGCGTGCAGGGTCCTCGGTTGTGACTCGGCACTGGATGGCGCAGCCATTGATGCGGATGTTCTCCTGCCGCAGGCCCAGGTCAGGCAGGCTCCGGCCCTCAGCCACGTGGATCTGTGCATGGACCAAGTCCACACTGC